ACACTTCTGCTATTTTCGGTAAACCGGTTCTCGAAATTCTGTAGCAGAACGAAAATTATTTTCGCGAAATTGTAAGCTGCCCCCCCCCCCCCATTAATAATATCGAAATAATATTTTCTGGTTTTACGTTATTTTAATTATTTTTAGCTTCCGTACGGTAATCGTGTTTCAACAATTATGTCTCGTAACGAGGCAACCTCTCGCTGGAAGCTCTTTTTTAACGTTCGTCAAGCTTCCATATCTATACGTAGGAAGCTTTTGCACGGCACCTTTAATGTAGAAGTTTTGTGACTTTTTTTGAAAGCGATTAAACCACTAGGAGGCCGAGTAATCATACAACAGAATTACGAAATCGGCTTTTAAGGAAGACAAAGGCAAGGTGTTTTGAAAATAAGTTCACGCACAGTCTTGTTTTTGGTTGTTCATTATCAGGCTACTGAATTAACCATGTTTGTCATGGTTACGTGAGTCGTGTTGTCTTGGTTATCTGTCTTTTGGCGGTTAAATTCGCGTAGTTCTTTTTTTCCAGACTATTGATTTAACCACGTTGTCATGGTTACGTGCTCTTTTTTTTTGGTCGTTTATCTCGCACACAACACACACACACACACACACAAGTGTTTTTACATTCTGCACGTGTATATTTTGAAATTCTTAACGTTGTTCTCGCTTGAAAAGCTTTAATAACATAAGTCACGAGCCTCATTCACGATCGAATATTTCCAGTATGGTTTCCCGAACTTGTGGCGTATTACTAAAAACGACAAAAATGAATAAGAATTTACAAATATAACAGCGTAGCGCTTACAGGAAACAAACGTCCTCCCTTGAGCTCGTTCATGATTTTTGGAAAGTAATTGTTTTGTTTGTTTTTTCTTGAAAACAAAAGCATAGAACCAACCAATACCGGATTAACGCATAGGGCCCCGGCCATACAGGGGCCCCGCCAGTCACCGAAATGAAAAAGTAAATATGGTTACTAAAACTAACAGAATAGTGGCAAGAGTAAGTCATTATTGTTATTATTATTGCCTAGGCCCATGGTTACTAAAACTAACAGAATAGTGGCAAGAGTAAGTCATTATTATTATTATCATTATTGTCTAGGCCCATGGTTACTAAAACTAACAGAATAGTGGCAAGAGTAACGTCATTATTATTATTATCATTATTGTCTAGGCCCATGGTTACTAAAACTAACAGAATAGTGGCAAGAGTAAGTCATTATTATTATTACTGCCTAGGCCCATGGTTACTAAAACTAACAGAATAGTGGCAAGAGTAAGTCATTATTATTATTATCATTATTGTCTAGGCCCATGGTTACTAAAACTAACAGAATAGTGGCAAGAGTAAGTCATTATTATTGTTATTATTGCCTAGGCCCATGGTTACTAAAACTAACAGAATAGTGGCAAGAGTAAGTCATTATTATTATTATTATTACTGCCTAGGCCCATGGTTACTAAAACTAACAGAATAGTGGCAAGAGTAAGTCATTATTATTATCATTATTGCCTAGGCCCATGGCACCACTAAACCTTAATCCGGCCCTGTGGATAGCATCCCTACAGAGAATCTCTGGTAACAACGTTTCTAACGTCATAGTCCAAGTGTGAACATATGTTATTTAAACTTTGCTTGTTATCTGTGCTCTATCCACCGCAGGGAACGAACCCCGGATCTTAGTTCTTTAACGACTAAACTAAAACGCTTCCAAATAATTATGGCGAATTAGAAAGTACTTACTACAAACATTAACAATATAAGAAGTAAATCATGGAAATTCTTATTCGATTTTTTTTTTCTTCCAGGATCCACTGCAAGTGTGGTGTTGTCCTCAGAACACATGATTATTATTCTCGTAGTGTTCTTCGCTTTGGTGCTCGGCATGTGCCTATCAATTTCCGTCTCCTGTTACAATAAGATAAAGGAGAGGAAGGAGCAGGAACGAGAGTATAGGCTACGTCGCTCCAAGGAAGCATCGGTAGAGACAGATCTGGACCAGAAGGTCGGTAGTTTCGAGAAAAACCTAGGGACACTGATGACCGTTCAGAACACCAACGTAACAGTGGAATCTCGAAATACCGGAAGTAAAGAAGCTCAAGAGGAGGAAGAAGATGGGTGTTACGTCCCGGAAATGGATCTGTCTGCATTTGACAAATATCCTAACGGTGGCTCTTCGGTGACCAGAGCAGCTGACCACTGCCCAAGATCTCCGCCCACTAGACAAGCTGCAGTTACCATTCTACCCGATGGCAGCCAACATCATCCTTTCTGTAGTCACCACAGGGGTAGTCCTCCTCTTCCTCCCCCTCCCCCGCCTCCTCTGCCTCCTCACCTCCGCAAACACAGAGAAGAAGTCGATCCCTTGGGTTGTTTTGTCCTTGTTGACAATCAGTGCCCCAAACACAATAGATTAACAACTCTTCGAGCTCAGCCTGAGCTCACAGAAACTGTGGTTGAGCTCTATCCAGACAGTCCTGGAGGTTGTCGTCAGAGATATGATCACCCAACATGATGCTGTACTCAGCGTAGATAAGTCGACCAGTCGAACCTCAAGTGGATGAGGTTTGACACAAGTGCGTGTCCATTCTGAAGGCTGAAAGTCGTCAGTGGATCTGGAATTACTGTTCGGGCTCGTGCCAAATTACTGCTCTCTTATAATGTTACTTTCATTCTTCAACAAACACCCAATATGTGTGTGCAGAAGAAGACGGTACACATGTTCTTCTCGCATACAGACTTGCAGAAACTTAAAATTACTGCGTCTTCTTCTGCAGACAAATCACGCTAGTGAGTTCCTCCTCCCCCCCCCCCAAATAAATAAATAAAAATTCATATTTGGTGCTTCCACCTAGCGGCACAGCGGTAAATCTGAGGGCCTATAACGCTAAAAAAAAAAATCGGGCTTCGAGAATCGTGGTGGGCAAAGCATAGATAGCCCATGATGTAGCTTTGTGCTTAATAACAAACAAATAAATCATATTTAGTGATTAGAAAAGAAAAAAACAAACAAACAAACATACATAATGCTCAAGTAACGTGCCAACTTTAGGTGTTTCGGTATTTCAGTGACCTAAAAGATTGTGTCTGTGCTCAATATCGTCTCTGTAATATTCGTAATTACCAAAACAACTATTTCTTTTAGTAGTTTGATAGTTCACTAACTGGCCACCAGGTGAACACGATTAAATAATAAATAATAACAATACCCCCGATTCGATTATGGGTACTAAACCAAAGGCGTATCCCGATTTCGACATGCTATCGCTTGTTTAGTAAATATTATCCGTTTACCAAATTCCCGACCAGGGCGACATCTATGTATAACAACCTTTCTATTTCCCGGATTCAATGTTGGTGCTATATAGTCGGCAGATGTGAACACTATTACTAGTCTGTGTGTACGTTAAACATGTGCCTTTAAACCGTTTCCATTATTGTTTAGTCGTCTAAACGTTTTGGTTTTGAGCATTATACCTCTTCTCGTGTTTCAAAAACAGTAATCCTGACCAGTGCACGAATCCCATACTTACGTAAAATATTGAATTTGTAATTATGCTTTTATTATTAACATTGTTTTTGTGAGGTCTCTTAATTTTGTTATTTAAACAATACATAGCGCGTTATTGTTTGATTAACCAACATACAATATTGTTATATATAAACAACAGATACTGCGTCGCTGTTTGATTACCCAAAATACAAAATCCCATAGTTAAAATACAGTATTGTTTCAGTATCAACATTCTATGTTATAAGACATTAATATTAGGCCTATTACATTTTAAACTACATTCTTAATCTGTTCCCTTACGCCTAATACTAATGTTTTATGACAAGTATAATTGTAATCAGTCTTCGCCGGTTTGTAAAACTGTAACAACTGTTGTTGTAACAAACAGCTTGTATAAATAGTATTCCGACCACTAAAGCCTAAAAGACCAACCATCTTCTGATTTTTTTAAAAATCAAACGTTGACTTTTATGAAAATCACTAATTCTTTGTGTAAAAAAAAAAAAAGTCCAGATTTTTTTTTTAAATCCCCCTCTTCTCATTCCGTAGGGTTGGCTACGCTTTTGACGTGAGATCTGGAACATTCCATAATTTTCTCAAATATTATTTCAAAATGAAAGTAACTCGGAGAAGTGGACAATTTTGACTTCTAACATTAGTGTATTAGTTTTGGCTTTAACTGGAATCTAACATTGGATACAACGAAGAAGTGGCTTGCAGGAGATCATATTGAGTAAAGGTTTCAACGCCTCGCTTCACATGTATAATATTCTAGGGTCAAATATTCTAAGGTCAAACAGTGGAAAGCGAGAACATTTCAAAGTCGAGATCCTGATGCCATAAACTTTGCGGGTGAAGTTAAACCTGTGGAAAGCTATTTTTATAACTGCTCTCTCGATTTTGAGACAATAGAGCTTGAGATTTAATGACCTGAAATTCAAAATAATTGACGTGAAGGTTAAAGATCGTATAATTCAAACCACTGACGTAGAGGATTAGGATCGCATAAAGTCCGGAATTGGAAGTCACTGAAATTGAGGTTAAAGATCGTATAAAGTCCGGAATTGGAAGTCACTGAAATTGAGGTTAAAGATCGTATAAAGTCCGGAACTGGAAGTCATTGAAATAGAGGTTAAAGATCGTATAAAGTCCGGAACTGGAAGTCATTGAAATAGAGGTTAAAGATCGTATAAAGTCCGGAACTGGAAGTCATTGAAATAGAGGTTAAAGATCGTATAAAGTCCGGAATATGAAGTCATTGAAATAGAGGTTAAAGATCGTATAAAGTCCGGAACTGGAAGTCATTGAAATAGAGGTTAAAGATCGTATGAAGTCCGGAATTTGAAGTAATTGAAATTGCGGTAAAAGATCGTATAGAATCCGGAACTTGAAGCCCATGAGCCTAAGGTTAAAGGTTACAAAGATCGTATAGAATCCGGAACTTGAAGCCCATGAGCCTAAGGTTAAAGGTTACAAAGAGCGTGCAACTCCAAAACATTAGTTTACGATTAAAGACTGTATAGAGACCAGGTTTTGAGGCCTTTAAACTTAATGTTAAAAAAATACTTTACAAGGCCACTAAGCTTGAAATATGAAGTCGAGATTTTTTAACTTGTAGTGTGAAAAGTCTAATCTCGGGGTCATGAGAAACGTTATATAAAACATGCATTGTTTACCAATATATTCTTATATCCTGAACATAAAAGAGAAAAGCAAAACTGAGTCAACATCTTGAATGCGGTGAACCTAGAAACTGTACAATTATCTCTAATAAGAGTATTAAAATGTTCTTCCAGGACACCAGGTGTCAGGTTGTTGAGGCCGAAGTTTTCGAAGAATCTTACCAACCGTTAAATCTCTGACCCCCAAATTTTCCCTCTTTCTTGGTCCACCGGTGGGACTTACAACGCTACAATCCGAGGTTCGATTCCCCGCCGTGAACACAGCGGATAGCCTTTTACGTGGCTTTGTTGCTTGTCAGTATTACTAGACGCTAAGCGTCTCTTTTCTAGCTTGTTGCCGTGAAACAATCAAACCCAGGATCACGAACTTTCCTCAAATGTTATTGGTGTTTTGTGTTTGTTAGTTTCTAGACTTACCTTGGCAAAAAATATCAGGTTGTTTTAATAAACAAACTTTTCCGAGGACTGATAATCGAGCCTTTTATTCTATTTTGTTCAAAAGACTTCTTATCAACACAACGAACGATACTTAATACTTGTACAAATTTCAGAGATAAAAAAATACATATACATTGTATATTCCCTCAATCGCAACTCAAAAAATGTTACTCTCTCAATGAGCATTTCCAGTAAAAAGAGCGTTTTTTTTTGTTTTTTTTGTTGTTGTTTTCCTGTATTTCACGTGTTATTTAAATTTATACCGTTCAACTCAGCTCGCTTCTACAGTGACGCACACAAGAGGGTGGTTGCTGGGTGGGCTCAAGCCCCTGCACTTCTGCTCACATGCCTTAAAAGCACCCTTTTTCTCAGTAATAAAAATTGTCCATAATTTTAAATTTATACAGTTCAACTCAGCTCGCTTCTACAGTGACGTGCAAAAGAGGGTGGTGGTTGGGTGGCTTCAAGCCCCTGCACTTCTGCTCACATGCCTTAAAAGGACCCTTTTTCTCAGTAATAAAAATTGTCCATAATTTTAAATTTATACCGTTCAACTCAGCTCGCTTCTACAGTGACGCGCACAAGAGGGTGGTGGTTGGGTGGGCTCAAGCCCCTGCACTTCTGCTCACATGCCTTAAAAGGACCCTTTTTCTCAATCATAAAAATTGTCCATAATTACTATAAAAAAAAACGCCTGATTCCACGCCTTGCTTGTTGCGAGTTATTAGGTAAAAAAATATTTCAATTTTAAAATGAATGACACACACGTGGACTCGTAGGAGTTTACGGTAAAAATAATTGTATTAAGTGTTAGTACGTAAGAATTCGATCATAAACGTTTTTATACGACCCTTTACGTTGGAATAAGAAAGGATCTCTTTGCTACTCACGGTTTTCTACTCTATGTGTACCAGATATGCAAACCGCTGTTGCCATAGTCTCCCCTAACACGTAGCCCCCCCCCCTCTCCCTCAAAACAAGCTTGCCTTTCGATGCTTCAAAGGTACGAGTAAGAAAAACATTACAAAAATTAACTGAAATATTCTGAAGAAGTACAAACAGACAGCGGGTGAAAGTCGAACCCACGATTTTATTCGTAGGGTTCAATATAAAGTCGTCGCGTCTTGAACGTCCGTGTCTCGGTTTTCACTTCATTGGCGGAAATTAGAGGACTCTTGAGTTCAACCAATCAGAGTTTAGCATTTTGGTTCTCAGGTAAAACGTGAATTAAATGCCTTGTTTTCATTAATTAAGCACTCAATGTTTACAGATTTCTGGGAAACAAAACGCAAATATTAAAGCGTCGGAAAGTAAATAAGTTTTTCTGTAACTAAAGGTTTCCGCGTTTAAAAAAAACAAAAAAAAAACACCTCAAATCCTCGTGAATGAAAAAAAAAGCTTCCCTTAAATTTGACACCATATTTCTAAAGGAACTATTAAGTGTCCACTAATGGAATGCTGAAATAAGTGTTTAATTTACAGATCCATTATCTAATCCATGTGGAGTTAAGGAAAAAAAATAAAAGTTTCAGTTAACCTAAACTCGACGTCATCGATACGGAAATATTTTTAAGGACTGTTACGTCATACGAAAGTACCTTAAGCCTATTATATTTTTGTTACATTCATATAGAAGAATTTTAAATCTATTGTTACGTCTCTATTACGTTAATACAGAATAATTCTAAATCTATTGTTACGTCTCTATTACGTTCATACAGAAGAATTCTAAACCTGTTGGTACGTCTCTATTACGTTCGTATAGAAGAATTTTAAATATATTGTTACGTCTCTATTACGTTCGTATAGAAGAATTTCAAATATATTGTTACGTCTCTATTACGTTCATACAGAATAATTCTAAATCTATTGTTACGTTCATATAGACGATTTTTAAACCTGTTGTCACGCCTTTGTTGTTCATATAGAATAACTTTAAAACCATTATTCAGCCTGTTAGTCATATAATAGTATCTTAAAGTCATTGCTACGTCCTTGTTACAGTCGTATAACATATCTTAAGCCTACCATTACGTTTCTGTTAGTCATATAGAAGCATTTTAAACCTACTGT